TTCATCCGGCTCAATGACTTACACGACCTTGGTTTTTCTGGTTTACTTGGACGAACAATAAGGAGGCAAGAAGCAAGATTTATGCTCGGCTGGACAGATGTTTGGCTTCTTCTGACCTCCTGAGCAGACACCAGGACTTGGAGGTGAGGCATCTTACCCGAATTGCATCTGATCACTGCCCCCTTTTGTGTACGCTTTCGGAGGCGCCCAGGAGAAGTTCCTCTTATTGGATTAAGTATGAGGACATTTGGGCCTCATACCCTAGAGCGTGGCGGATTGTTTGGGACAAATGGAATGTGCAGGATGACGGCTCGGAAGGTTTGAAGCTTCAGAGGAAGTGCCGTAGGACGCTTCGAGCTCTTTTCTTCTGGAGTAGGGATAAAATACGGAGCTTGAATCAGGGTAAGACGGAGCTGGAAAATGAGATTGGGGTCCTTCAGAATTTGGAAAGAGAAAAATCCAGCACAGAGTAACAAAATAGGCGCTGTAATAGGCGCGCTTAGCACTGAATTCATAGCACCACTTCTACCACTTGCATAGCATATCGGTAGTAGCTACAAGACAAAAAACTCACTCAAGAATGCAAGAGAAGTGCTTTTGAAAAGGTAGAGCTACAAGAAAGCATCTACTGAGCTAACCATCTAATCTAAGCAGTAGCATCTCAACTCAAGGAATAGCTTTCCCGCAAGAGGAAAGAGCATCTATCTACACCCCTACTTTGGGATATTGCCTTAGCTAAGGAGCAACAACTTCCCCGTAGGCTCAATTCGGTTCCATCCTATACCTACGTCTTATCATTCGTAATCGCATTCTATCACACTGGTGGTACTTCTTGTTGAATGAAAAGATTGGATTAGTCTTTTTCTGTGTGAGAGTGATGAAATATAAATAGGGGAGCCCCCTAATAAGGAAGTTGCTTCTTGGAAAAGCCTTTTCGCTGCCAAGAATCCATCTCGGTTTCAGAATTCACCCATGAAACGAAAAAAGAAGGTGTTAGAAAGGGGACTCTTTCAAGAGGAAGGATGCAGCGAGCGAGCCTGTGAAGCTGCGATTTAGTTTCCAAAAAGGTTTCTTGATAAGTTCCCATAATACCTTTCTCATCGAGAAATTACAACAACTTCAACTGATGCCCACGCCAAACGAGATAACTCAGTTGATCGTAATGATCAGTTCCAGTCTTTCCTCACCCGATTCCTTCCTTGGCTGTTATTTGCATCTAACTAGCTAATGCTGCTGGGATTTTTCTTTCTTCTTATTGATTTCTTGAATTACGTAGAAGAGTCTTACGATAGGAATGATGTGTCTAAATCTGATACGTACTTCGTGGTGCTTAGGCGTCGTTGTCAGGTTCTCCCTCTTTTCTTATCTTTCTCTAATTTTTCTTTGAGAATGTGATTTTCAATCTTGAGTTGTTTGACTTCATTCCTTAGTGATTGAATTAGGAGTTTTCCTACGTTATTTAGGCATGACAAGTATGTGACCTCGATTGGTTCAGTATCTACCCAGAGATCACTGTGATATACTGGCATCCTCTTGCTCCTTAGCTTTATACCTAGTTTGACCAATGTGTCTTTCTTTCTGATGTTAAGAGAGTGCCAATCAACCTTGAAGTTGGAAGAAACCTGTACCTTTTCTGTACGATCTGGGTCAGTGTACTGTGCCTCAAACCATTCTGGATAGACCTGGTTTTTAGCAGGTCCCTTGTACTTGAGAACACCTTTTCCATCTATTGTGATGTAATAATAGGATTTCGGTACTAAAAAGTATCCTTTCATGATTCTGTCCTCAAGCTTAAACTTGCCTAAGACAGATGAAGAAAGAACTTCTTCAGGTAGTGGCTGACCAAGCACAACTGAGTCAGTGTCTGTGTAGTAGCTGTCTTCTCTTGAGATATACGGGAACATATAGATCCTAGCGGAGGCAGTTATAGCAGCTGCTAGTTGTACAGCTGAATTCTTCGGTGGGTTCCAATAATCTGAGTCCGTGCTATGGTAGGAAACGATGTAGTTGTTCTCGCTAAGCATATCACAGGATATGAACTCACTCTTCCTGATCAAATGTTTGAATCGATTTTCATCGCAGACATCGGTGACCGTGCTTTTTGGGTGAATACCAAATCTACCGTATAGCGAATTCATAAGGATCTTGTACACAAAAGCCAAGGCATCATTACCTTCTTTCCTTGCCTCTAACCTACTCTCAAAGAGTGTGCTAACAAAGTGCTTGAATGGGCTTTCCATTCTCTTATATAGATATCCTGAGATTGGGATCACAGTGTAGCCTAAGCTTTTTGCATACTTTAACTCCTCGCTATAGTAGACTCCAACAAATTCCCCGGTTGGAAAGAGAAGAGTCTTATTCTTGTCTGGGTAGAAATGGCCTCTTTAGAGATACCACATATGCCTCAAGAAAGCCAAACAAGCTATCATCTAAGTCCTTACCAACCAGATTTCCATGCCAGACTGGATCACCACCAGGCATTGGGAATTCCTTCATTACAAAGGGATAGAGAGAGTTCACATCGTAGTAGTATAGGTCCTCGCCATATGGCTTGTATGTATCTGTATGACCACCATAGTATCCCCGCCTTATAAAGGAGTCTTCATTCTTATTAGGGATGTGGATAGGCCAATTCTTTGAGTCGTAGTATTTCAGACGATAGATGCTTAGAGCCAATGAGGCAAGTGTAATCTTGCTTTCTATGTCCACGTTATACAGCTTCCAAGAAATCTCTTGAGCTTTTTGCATTATACCTCCAAGGAGAAGTATGTCCTGCTTCATATAGTCTAACAAGCTTTTTTTCATACTGACCAGATTTGACAGTTTCACCTCATCATATGGGATTGAGCCTTTCTGGCCTAGATCCGGGCATAGATTCTTAGCTAGGTCGCTAAGTTTGCCTGGTAGAAGATTCAAGGAGTCTCTGAAGCAGAAGAACTTATTCTTACCAGAATAGACAGCTATCTCGTAAAGCCTATGGTTCCTAACCAGTGGTTTGAGCTTGTAGCTCTTATGATGACATGCTAGGTGCTTAAGCAAGAAAATACCATCGAATCTAGAGAAATTGTGAAAGTAAATAGTAGTGAAAGCTGATTTTTCTTTTCTAAAAATCGCTAATATCCTTTTGAGAAAGTCAAAAAGAACCTTAGTACTCCTTTCTTCAAAGGAATCCAAGATTAGAGAGTGGTCTTCGCTGAAGTAAGTATCGATCAATTGATTCTTGATCTCTTTACCAGGACGAACCAACAAGAGACCTACTGCATAAGGCTTATGTTCGTTATCGATCAGTATAGTCTCGGTATCGGCAACTAGGAATGGTTTCAGCTCTGTGCGAGATGGTTTGAGTGCTTGGATATGCCTTGGATAGCTACGCTTACGATTTCGGATTGCTCTTGCAGTTATTGGCTCGATCTCACTCAATCCGGCTTTCATGATTGAATAAAGTGTGCTATCTCTCTCCTCAGAAGATAGGGAAGGCCTATACATCTTTTTGCCGTCCATATAGACTCGGATCATGAGTCGAACTAGATTATCCTCGTCGTAGATTTCTGCATATTTCATAAGACTTCGAGATATTTGAGCATAGACCTCATTCTTTGGAATGAACTCACAATCTTGATAAGTCAAGGGGATAGCGGGACCTGTAGTAAATGAGATCTCCTCTCCGTAAGATCGCATCATAGTCAAGGAAATAGTAAACTTAGCGTAACCAGATAAAGATGGGTAAGCAAACTGGATTAAGAGACCAAGGGTAGCAAGACTGAGTAGGTCAATCTCGTGAACAAGAGGGTAAGGCTTTTTGAAGTGATGTGTAGCAATAATCAACCCTGGATGCGGATCTTGGGGTGTTGTTCGTTCAATCTTTTGATACAAGCGATTCAATAACAGTCCGATAGAAGCTGTATTAGCACTGTCTGTTGTGTATGCCCTCATCTTCATCTTCATGCTTAATAGTGTACGCAGTAATGGGGTTCCCCCGGTTTTGTTTTGAGTTTCAACTGGAATTTTTCCCACCTTTTCTCAAGCTCAGTTAAGGAATGACCGCATACTTGACGAGTATACGTCTCGTAACAGGTCAGTATACCCGAGATATTTTCTTCCAGCATCTTCTTGCTTCTATTCTCAGGAATCTTTGACCTTAAGAAAGAAGATAACTCCTCTTTGGGGATTACACTACTTTTAGACCTGTTACCCATAACTAGGTGTACATTAGAATCCCTATTATGGATATGTTTCATAACATTCATATAGATGAATTCGTTGATGATTGAAAGTGGCGGGCCCATGCTACGAAAGACGTTGCTGGTATGAAATTGCTTTTTTCAATAGTACTTAGAAAGTTATCGTGTACTGTGTATATTGGCCAATTAGATAATAGCATAGATTCTACTACGTTCATTGCAATA